TCAACAGGTGGATAGACTGTCTTTCCAGCTCTTGGCTGTCTTTGTTGCTGAATTACGACTGCTTTTCCACTCTTCCCTCTTGATTCATTAGAGGAAGATGATAAACAAGAAGAAGCAGGAGTCCCAAAGTACAAGATCAAGTAAGCAGTCTCACAAATGAAAAAGCTGAAATCTCTCAGAAAAATTATATGTTCAACAAAATGTCTCTTCCAGTTGCTAATTTTGGTCCTGCAGCAACCTGCTCCATGCAGCATGTTCTTCCCCTGCATGTTAGGAATAGAGGGCAGGAGGGTCTAGGATGTGCCTTAAGGGCATGCCCTTAAGCAGAAAATACAATGCTGACATCAAGTTCTAGAATCAGATCAGACACAATCATTAAAGTCCCCCTGCACATCCTATATACTTCTGTTCTTCTTGCCCTTTCACTACAATAGCTGTGCTGCAACTTCAATGCATTGCATTATGTGCCAGGTGCAATACAGTCACACATCAAAGAAACGTAAAGATACTTAATTTCCATATCATCCTGTGGAATAACAGAAGGTGGTACTTCTGAGCTGAAAAACAGTCAATGCAGCAATTCTGAGAGAAGAAGACTTCAGAGGGAGTCAAAGAAAAAGTAAAGCGTGTAACTAAGAGCAGATCTAAGACTGTCAGGACTGCTTTTTGCTTGCAACTACATTTGACCTCTTCCACCCTGACTGGAGAAAGACGGGGACGGAAGTAAAATCTGGTCATTTTGCCAGAAGACCGCAGGGCTTTGAAAGAATTCTGAGGAGATCTTTGGTGGGATTACTGGAGTAATTTAATAGGTGGTCATGTTAGCAGGCAGAGAACAAAATGACATTTGCATTTCAGACTGCCTGTATGGTTTAGGAATAGTGAAGGAAGAAAAGTAAGCCTGAAGAAGCCCAAAGCTATTCTGCACTCAGGAAAAAGCCCTGACAGAAAGAGAATGAAAGAGATTAAGTTAAGGGAATAAGATTCTGAAAAAAAAAAGCATACAAAAACATTCATTTAACTTCCAGGCTAATGCAATATTGTTTAGTGAACATAACTATGCAGTTGATTTTTCATATTTAAATTGTGGAGTCACGGAACCAGAATAATTCAGGTTGGAAGGGACCTGGTTTGCTCAAGACAACCCTGTCCCTTGTAAACAAAATCCAGTTTAAAATGGAACACATCCTGCAAAGATAGAACACTTGATATATCAAAGGCAAAGAGTAAAATGGTGTAGTACATGGTTTACTCAGCATAAGGACAGCAGAAATTTATATTTAATTTTTCAAAGGTATTTTAAAAATGTATCTTCTATTGCAAAGCACTTTAGCTTCTTAAGACAGAACTGAAAAATGCATTAACACAAAAGCAAACCTGTATCTTAGGATCTGAATGAAACAAGACCATGAAAAATAATCTATCTGCTAGTTTGAAGCCTCACCAATTAAAATAAATTAAGCATTTTTTGTACTTGTAGGGAACTTTAAAAACAAAAGTTCTTTTCCATTCTCATGATGAATCAGACCTGCATCTCTCTCAGCAACAAGTACAAAAAGGCACTTTCAAGTGGTCTCTAGTACAGTGCCGTAAGATCTGCTAAAGAACATCTAGGGCTACAACTAGAAATATAATTTAGCATTAAAATTTGGGATTTCCTATCAGAAGTAGGCTTTTTTACCATCCAGCTTGTTTTTTCAGCAACCTAAATTTAAGATAAACATCTGATTTTAGACCCTTTCCATGTAAAGGAAGTTAATTTTTTTCAGTAGTTAAAAGGGAAAAAATTCCTTTTACAAATCTACTTTTCCTTTGATCTTTCATTCAATCTATTTGGATAATACTGGAGTGCAGAAAGAAATTACATAGGAATCTGAATCTTACAACAGAAAACAGAGATTGTGTTTTAGAAATCACTTAAGTTACTTACAGCAACAAGAACATACATATTTACATATTATCATTGATAATGTATATTTCTGGTTACCAGAGTATTTTTGAAATTTGAATCTAAATGTAGCATACTGGCTCTGAAAAGAAGATGTAAAAGGATAAATATACAGGTCTTTCCCCTATGAAAGAACAATGTATCTGTTTGTTACCTGTTAAGTATCTTCTGTTTCACATTTCATTCTCCACTAAAAATAAATGAAGGATAACCTATACCACAAAATATCTGGTAATAGTATGTATCTGCTACCACCTGCTGACAAACAGCATTACTGACTTTATAGTAGTCTTAAAGCAGCTTCTGTGTCCCTATAAGTTAGTTTCCACTGCTGCTATAGAAACTGACAGTAAAAGCCACATGACTTTTTTTAATACAGAATGTTGTAGCCATAATAAGCCAGTAATTTTGTATCCACTCAGCTAGTCTACATCACAGATTCACCACTGACCAGCATAATCCACTCAAAGCAGCTACTGTATCCTTCATGCACTGAAACCCTTCACCTATTGCATATGGTGTCTTGGTTTAGGCCCAGTGCATAACCAAGCACCAAGATGCCCCAAAAAAGGGCTAGTCAAAATAAGGACTGGGAGGGCTTCTCACCACTTAAACAGGTCACAGGCAAAAGACAGACTCATCATAAGGAATAAAGAAAACCCCAATTTTAATTTATTACCCACATCAGAGTAGAACAAATGGGCGATACAACCAGATCTTAAAATGAAAACACTTTGCCGCACCCCTCCCTTCTTCCCGGGCTCAGCTTTTGTTCCCGGTTTCTTCACCTTCCCCCTCCCCGTTTGCCTTGAGGCGCAGGGGGATGGGGGTGGGGGTTTGCGGTC